TGGTTCTACTGGTGGTACTGGTTCTACTGGTAGTACTGGTTCTACTGGCGGTACCTAGTAGTACTGGTTCTACTGGTGGTACTGGTTCTACTGGTAGTACTGGTTCTACTGGCGGTACCTAGTAGTACTGGTTCTACTGGTGGTACTGGTTCTACTGGTAGTACTGGTTCTACTGGTGGTACTGGTTCTACTGGCGGTACCTGGTGGGCAGCTCGGCAGACGTCCTGCTGGTCCTGTTTCTGAGGCTGCAGCTCAGCTGGTTGGACTTCTGAAAGAAAAAGAGTTTGAGTTTATTCAGGGACTTTCGACCGATCAGGACTTTCTAACCGGCCCGGCTGCAGACCCGGTTCTCACCTCGGAGTCGCTCGAGGAACCAGAAGAGGTTCTGGTGGAGGAGTGTCCCAGCAGTCTGAGGAGGTGCTGGTCCAGAGGAGGAGGGCAGCTGTGCAGGAGCAGCAGTCCGTCGGCCCAGTCCAGAGGAGACGCTGGACCAGAACCACAGGACCGGCCCTGCTGGTACTGGTCCATGTCCAGAATGGAGGCCAGAAGGGCAGCATGAAGCTCCTGCAGCTGCTCCTTTAACACCAGCAGAACAAAGGAACAGGGAGGACCTGCAGAGACCAGGAGGAACCAGGAGAGAGCAAGAGGAACCAGGACGGACCGGGAGGAACCAGGAGGGACGAGGAGGAACCAGGAGAGAGCAGGAGGGACCAGGAGGAACCAGGAGAGACCAAGAGGAACCAGGAGGGACCAGGAGGGACCAGGAGGGACCAGGAGAGAGCAAGAGGAACCAGGACGGACCGGGAGGAACCAGGAGGGACCAGGAGGGACCAGGAGGAACCAGGAGAGAGCAAGAGGAACCAGGACGGACCAGGAGGAACCAGGAGGGACGAGGAGGAACCAGGAGGAACCAGGAGGGAGCAGGAGGGACCAGGAGGAACCAGGAGGGACCAGGAGGGACCAGGAGGGACCAGGAGGAACCAGGAGGAACCAGGAGAGAGCACATCATTAATGAATGACGATGCGTGGGAAACACTGTGACGTTCTTCATTTCTCGGGGTGGAGAAGCGAGACCCACCGGAGGAGGTCCGGATGGCCGACAGCTCCGTCTGCAGCAGGTTGGCCTGAGCGTCCGTCACCCACAGGAAGAGCAGCGAGGGGGCGGGGCCTTCCCAGGACGCCAGCAGATCCCCGCCCCGAGCCACGCCCCCATCCCAGACGCCGTAACCGCGAACCTGAGACGCCACCACGGTGACCTCGGCCTCCTCCAGCCCTGGAACACAGCAGGTTGATGGACGTGATGCACCGAAGTCTCAGAACGACGACATCGACACACAAAGGCACCAAAAACCAGGAAATGTCGTCCAACAATACCAGTCTGACGTTAACGCTGCAGCAGGAGGAGCCGTTACCTTTGACAGGAATCGTGATGCCGTGTTCCGTCACCTGTGGAGGAAACAGACAGGAAGCGTTACCTGGACACACCTGAGAGGACGCGCTGACCCTGCTGGTGTCTAACCGACCACATTCATGGATCAAACAAACACACAATGAACCGAAACAACTGGAACACAAACACGTCAACAATCTGGACATCAACACACAACAGCACTAACGTTCGTGTCCTTCAAAATAAAAGCTTCACATTTCCATGGCAGTGATGACTACAGAAGACTTTCACTGTGAATCCGTCACCAGCTCAGTCCGACTCACCGTCAGCGAGCCGTTGGCGTCGGCGTTCGTCAGGCCGGCGTGAAGCGAAGCAAACTGCAGCTGTAGGAAGGAGGGCGGGGCCTCAGGCGAGCTCACCTGTGTGGAAGCCTGCCAGACAACACACAGGGACACAGTCAGCCCACAGCTGGACACACAAACTGAGAGCTGATGGTGGGTTCCAGGGTTACCAGGAAATTGCTCACAACACGTCGAGCTGATTACACAACAGCAGAGACACACAAACAACCACGAACACACAGAGAGACCAGGAAGAGACGCGACACCGGCACAGGATGAAGATTCAACGAAACCAGGACTAAACCTCCTCCAAGCACCAGAAGGACAGCAAGACACACAGTGAGCACAGACAGATGCAAAACCAGTGCAGCTACCAACCACAGAGACAGAGTTACTCAAAACAACACAGAGAACCACAACAACTACAACAACAACAACAAAGACACAGAACTGCACAAAGTCTGGATGTCAACACACTAAAGCAGGACACAACATCTGTGCTGTGGTGGCGCTAACAGAGGCTGCGGTCTTTGTGGGTCACATGAGGGCAGCAGATTGTGCGTCGGTCTGCAGGTGGAGTGTGTAACTGAAAACTGCTGGCTTTAATCAGTCGGCGTGTCGGCGGCCTGGAGGCGATTCCATCCTGAAGCCGTTGTGTTTACGTGAGTTCAGCTGTTTGTCTCAGACACACGCTGTTGTTATCGCTCTGAACGTTTGGTTCCCGTCATGTTACGAACACTTTGTTCAAAACGCTGCCGACATTCTGCAACGGGGTGGAAATGTGCCACGACAGCCTGAATAATTACACAATAAAGGACCAAGAACCTCCA